TTTAGGGGGTGGGGGTAAGCAAGCACCTGAGGGCTTCAGGATGGGGGACCCAGGAGGGCGCCTGGCTCTCTGGCCCCAGGGGTCTCCTTCCCTCACCATCTCCTTTGGAATGAAGCTACAACCCAACTATTTCATTCAGCTCAACAAGGCATGTGCTTAGTGCTAACCATGAGCAAAGAGCTTCAAGATATTCTGGTGAAATCCCTCATGTCGCAGTGAGAGCAAAAGTCACTTGTACCGCACACAGAGAGGTGATAGGGCTGGGGTGGAAACCAGACTTTTTGACCGTAAACATAGGCTCTGGGCCCTGTGTGTTTACAGAGGACCAAGCGGGGGGCCCACACAGGCCTTGGGCCTTCCACAGCCTTGGACTTATAACAAGGGAAGGAAAATAGTGGAAACACCGCCTGTGTGCACAGCCTGTTTGGACATAAGAGGGGGCTCAAAGGGGCTCCTAGGGGCTTCTGCAGTGTCTCTTAGGTCCTACTGGGGAAGGAAGGCAGGGAGGGAGGTGGGGAGGGAGGGTGAGTGCTCCCTCCCCCCACCCTTCTGTCTATTCTGCAGAAGAATCAGGTTCTCCGGATGGATCCTAGCTTCTCCAAGCCTGTAACATCACAACAAACCCGTATGGATAGGAGAGGGAACTTACTATTTACCCCACCTCCGGAGAAACTGGACCAGAAAGGGGAGGGGAGGGGATGAAGAAAGCCCATCAGGGTCCAGGCATCCCCGCAGCCACCTATGCCAGCCTCCCCCAGCCTGCGGTGGGCAGGACAGTAAGGGGGAGGGAGGGGCCCCTTCCCTTCTTCTCCCACCTGGATGCCAGGTCCAGTGTAGTCTCCGCCAAGGTCAAGGGGGCAAGGACAAATGCTGTGAGGCCACCTGGCCAGAGAGTCCCAATTAGACTTTATTTCCTACCCTTCAGGCTCTGAGCCCCCAACCCAGGCACCCCAGGCCAATTACTGGCGGGCAGCATTAACCCCTTGGTGCCCCAGGCCGTTAATGGAATGTTAATTGGTCTAATGGGCTTCATGTCAACAAGCTCTAATGAGCTCCTTCCTAACAAGCTTGGTAGTTTTTTCTAAGCCTGTTTGTCAACACACTGAAGTTTGAGCTGCAGACTGAGGCCCACCCCCCACCCTTGCAGGTGGGGGAGGGTTCAAGGGGAGGTGGTGACTCTAGGATACTTTCCCCTACCTCTTAAAGGGGTGTCCTTTATGCCCCTCATCCACCCCAACCCCACATGCACCCTCTCACCCAGGAGAATGGCATTTTAACCTCCTTTTGATGATAATATCAATGAGACAAATGATTTCTTCTTGGAGATCACTGTGGTTTGACTGTTACATAGGTTTTTCTCCTCCCGGTTGTCATATAATAAAGGTTTTCAGTATTAACAATGTCGTGGGAAATTTCTCGGTAGCAAACTGTTCCTCCTGTGTCCTCCATTTCCATTTCAGCCTTGGCTGTGCTCCCTGCAAGGCCTGGTGTCTGGTAACAGCTCTGGGGCGCTGGGCAGGACAGAGTGGCTACTCCAAGCCTCTGGCCAGGCTCAGGGGCCCTGGGCTGTGTTTGCTGGAGCTCAGGCCTGCTCCGTCCCACCCCCTGCCGAAGAAAGTGCATAAAGGCGGCAGGTGTCCAGCTCAAGCAGTTTCCCCTAAGGCCACCCTGTCCCCACCTGCACCCCAGCTCTGATGTTTCCACCCAGCCCAGCTCTAGTCAAAATAACCAGGCCGCCACATTTCTCTCCAGGATGGTTCCACATGGTTCCTCTCCAAAACTTTAATGGATCGATCTGGAGTTTTCAAAGGAGGGAGCAGAGCATGTGTGGGTGGAGGGGTGTTTAGAAAAGATCCGCCTTCCTCTTCTAGAGATGCACACGGGTCTCCCCCAGAGTCAGGTTACCAGAGGCTTCTGTGCCTGAGTGAACAGAGAAGGAAACTTAAGCCCCTGATGAAAAGGCCTCCTGTTCCTCTGCAGGAGAAGCCCCCAGAGGGCAATGGGCCAGTGGCCTAGTGGCCTGTGGTGACCCTTGACAGGAGGGGGAGGGGCGAGGGCCATCTGGGTCCTCAGAAAAGTGTTCCTGAGGAGGGTCTGCCCCTGCTTCCTGGCCCAACAGGCTCTGGACTATAAAGACCCTCCACTCAGCCTCAAAAGCAGTTGTTTCTGGGTGCAGACCACGCTTAACTGCTTAACCGTCCTTCCTAACCCCAAGGGAAGCAACTCTGCTGTTGAAAATATTTCTAGGATTCTAGGGCAGGGACTTAAAAATGACCCCACCTCCCACTCACTGCACAGGGAACAAAAGAAGACTGATTAAAGACGCTTCTGTTCATCCAACTCCTCCTCATGAAGCTTCCTTTGCTTTGCCTTCGCTATGACTTTCGCATCCATGGAACAAGGTTACCAAAAGACTCACACCCCAGGTTAAAGGAAGCATTTCCCTAAGAGGGGAGAAAACCGGCCCAGGCGGCTCCCACCCCAGACCCTACCCCCAGGCTCCCTCTCCTGGAAGCGTCTGGTACTACAGCCCGGTGATTCCCTTTTCCTGCCAGGAGCACAGAGATGCTGTTCCTGGGAAGGGGTTGCGAAGGCAGGGACTTAAGCCCCATCCTAATTTACCTTCCAGAAAAGACTGAGCCAACATACTGCTGAATATCCCTATTGCCTTCGTTGCCATGGGGTCCCAAAGGGAGATTCCACATCTGTTTTAATAGGTCAAGGGTCGTACTTCTGGAAGTCCTTTCTAATGACTCAAGGACTGAATCCTCTTTTCTTTTTTTCTCTGGAAACCCCTGCACTCTGCTCTTGCCTTCCGTGGGTGTTTACCTTCTTCAGCCCAAGACCCAGCCTTGAAAACAGATCTTGGTTCCTCTGCATGGAGAGATAGGTTCTCCTCAGGGCTCCTTTCTGAGAAAATTCAGCGTGTGGCACTCCCACACCTAGAATGTGTGAGAGCTAAGCCCTGAGCTGCTCAGACCTCCTGGCCACCCAGTTTTTGAAGCAAGGCCGGTCAGCAAGGTGAAGCTGTCCGGGGTGGTGCTGTTACAGGGCAGCCTGCTGTCAACTGGGCTGCCTGGCTGTGGGTCCTCACCCACGTGCTTAAGATTCAATTATACTGCGGACACGCACAAAAAGGGTCAAAAATGGGTTTATTTACAAAGGGAAAGGAAAAGGAACAACCCAGGGAAAGAGAGAGAGATACAAGTTAACTAGAGCGTCCTACCAGTTCTGCTGACTTGGAACCCCAATAGCACACTGAAAGCTAATTGAGAGCCCAATGACCAGCCGCAAACCCCCAGGCCAAGAGACCCCCAGAGCCCACATGTCCGGTTTTTATCCCAACCTGGCTGCTCAGCTCCGCCCTCACGTCCCAGCGTGCTTCTCCTTGGTATTGACGGGATTTATAGTTCAGTGTCTGCGGTGGGGTGGAGTCGAGGGAACCTGAATCTGTTACAAACCTGCTACCTGCTGTCACATCGGCAGGGCCGCCAAACCCCCCGGTCTCCCCTAAGACAGCCTCCAGCACCACCAGCCCCAGGCCTTTCACTTTCTTCTTTCCCCAAAGGACAGTCACCTCCCTCTCCCTGACAAGACTCCCTGGAGGGAAGATCTTACCTCCTTTCATCCATCTTCCCACACTCCCTGGGAGAGTTTTTTGCACGTAGTTGACACCTGAAAAACATTCGTTTGAGGGAATGAATACCTGAATTTCCAATGCTTTCCCATGAGCACCACAGGTCAGAGCAAATCAGGCAGTTCAGACTCAGGTCAGACCAGAGCTGATCTTTCTTCTTCTTGCTGAAAAAGAACCAAAGCAACATCACAGACACACTCACACACTCATAGCCTTGGAGACCCACCCTTTCACTTAGGCAACTCCAACACATGCTCAAATCCCACAGGCTTCGGTTGTGTGGACATTTCAGAAGGTCCTGCAGTAGGAGAGGGGATACCAGGTGTGCAGAGGATGGGGCTGGGCAAGCTCCCATGTGCAGGTTCCTGGCTCATCAGCACCATCCATCCAGGAGGAGGTCAGCTCCCAACCCCCCCACCACCACCACCACCAGCATTTCTGAGGCGGCGCCATGCCGTGCCATGGACAGCCTGTGTCCAGCCACTAGTCTGTGGTTTTCAGCTTTAAATACTTCAGGGGTCTATGGTCACTATGCAGCTCTCGTGGCCCCGTGGGGCAACTCACTGGTGGTAGGGTGGGGGCAGTACTGGGAAGCAGGAATCTGGAGACTGGGTTCCAGCTCTGCTTCACTAGTCCTGTCCCACCACCCAGCCCCAACACACACACACACACACACACACACATCACTGTTCTTGGCCTCTGCCACCTGTCCTCTGTGAGGCGGCCTGACCTCCTGGCTCCGACATGTCTTCTGAGCCACGTGCCCCACTGTATTGAACAGCGGTCACACACACATACACCCGGACACACCCAGGCCCTCCTTTGCCACTTCACTGCTCTGAAAACCCCCAGATGGTCACCCTCCAGCCTGAGGGATCCAGCACCCCACAGCCCTTCCTACCACCACGGGGTGAAGTCATAGGCCCAGCTGGTGCTTGGAGATGCTGGGGTCAGAGAGGTGGGGTAGGAACTGGGAAGAGGAAGAGTGCTGGTGGGGGCTCAGGGAGAACCCGGGAAAGGGCAAGCACCCCAAATGGCCTTTAATCCCCTTGTACTGCCAAGGGTTGACCCTCTGTTCCACCTCTCTCTGTTCAAGATCAGGCCCCAGGCGGAGCAAAGTGTGCCTGCTGTTATACATACAATCTGAATCGTACTTCTTTCAAGTCAAAATAGCTACAGCAAGTCCCTCCCCACCTGGGCCTCCCCCATCGCCCTCATTTGTTCCCCTAAAGGGCCTCCAGCACTGACAGTAGCCTCAGTCCCAGGAACTTCGCCTGAGAAAATGGCAAGCCCCCACTGGTCCGGTCCCCAGGACTCCCCATGCTCAGCTTATTAATGTGCCACCCCCTTTCTCCTGCCGCAGATCCTCGATGTGAATCAACCCCATGATGCAACATGCCTCCCCAGCCCCCGCTCTGACGATGATGGCCACGCAGAATGTCCCGCCCCCGCCCTACCAGGACAGCCCGCAGGTGAGTGCCAACGGCCCCCCAGGAGGGAAGGGTGCGGGCCTTTCCCGGCAGGGCAGGGACAGGCCTCCCTGAGCTCTGCGCTGGCTGCCCTCTGGGCTGTCAGGCCAGAGAGGCCTCTGGGGAGTCGTTACATTTGACAAAACACCAGTTCAGACCCTACTTGCACAAGGGTTGTTACCTAGGAGCCTAGTCCTGGGCCTGCCCAGCCTCCTGCTTCACAGGCGGGCAGACTCAGCCAAATTCACAGAGCCCCTGCTCCTTCGGAAAGGTGCAGGTAAACGGAGTCTGCATGGGGATGTCTGGGCAGCTTCTGGCTTGCTGGTCACTAGAGCCCTTTGCCAATCCTTTCCTGCCTGTGTGTTGGGAGACTCTCCTGGCCTTTCGGGGCTCTGTTGGCTTCTGACCAGGAAATGGCCAGGACTGTTTTTCTGTATTCTCCAGCCCCTGCCTTCTGGCTCCAGTTTCCATCCCCCAGCTCAGACCCAGCAGCTCCCCACAAGTTCTCCTGAGACTCCCATTCCTCTTGACCCCATCTTCCTAGTGGCTTTTCTTCTGGAAGCCTGGCCCAGCTTTCCCCCATGTGGGTGTCCCGTTACTCCTGGCCTGAAACTTTGCATTGGTTACCAGCTTTGCTTTCACAGAAGTCTCCAACACCAGCCTTTGCCTTCACCCTCCTCTGCCCTCCAACCTGGGCACCTGAGTCACTATTTAGAAAATATTTATTTATTTATTCATTTATTTATTTGTTGGTTTGTTAATATTTATTTATTTATTTATGCATACAGACCTGGGGTACAGGCCAGAGGCGCAGGGGCAGTGAGAGGATTCACCAGAGACAGAGCAGGGAGCAGAACAGGCCGCCTGACGAAGTACACTGCTGAGGAGAGCAGCAGGCGGGTCAGGAGAGGTCTGCTGTGCCATGTGGGTCACCTCCCTGGCCGGGGCTCGAACTCCTGCTGAAGCGGCTGCTGCTAACACCACAGTGCTGCGCTTTAACCCGCTGCACAGCCACGGAGGGCCCCCAAGTCACTATTTAATCCCATTATTATTTGTCAAGCAGCTGTTATGCTCAGGAGCCCACTGGCAGGCTCATCCCTTCCTTTAATGATCAGGCAGTGAGCCTGCTGCGTGCCAGGCAACCTCACTGTCCAGCAGCCTTCTTGCTCCCCGGGGAAGACTTGCCATTCGCATTTCACACACAACCGTTCTCATGCACCACAGAGAGTCTGTGAAAAGGATATTGAGAGGCAGACAGCCCCAGGTAGGCAGACTTTTGCTCACACTAGGTGAGCCCTGGCTTGGGTGAGCACACAATGACCACCCTATGCCTCCTTCTTGTCTCTGTGAAATGACCACTTTGCAGTGACCACTTTGCAGTGGGGAGGACAACCACTCCCTCTCTCCAGAGAGTCCCAAAGGCTCAACATCACCAACCTGCAAGCACCCTTTGGCCCTACCTCGATTCCCACATACCGACTCCTTCCCAGCCTAACCTCCGATTCAGCAACCCTTCTCTGTGCCGGTAGCTTTCACGAGTCCCCTCCCTCCCCCCCCCCAGGGTCAAACTTGCCCCTTACACAGCTCCTCTACTCAGAAGCTTCCGGACAGGCAACATCGCGTCAGGGCCTTTCCTTCTATGTCCCAGATTCCAGGGATGAAGTGCAGAGGAGGCCTGGGGGATACTCTGGAATCCTGGGACCTGAGGAGGCCAAGCATCCTTGCTCAGTAGACGCAAACCTATACACACTCACTCAGTTCTAGGGATACGGATTGTAATAAGATTTAGGAACTTTGCTTCCATGTCTTTTGTACCTGGATATTGCTGGCCAAACTTCCCAGAGGGATGAGGGTTGGAGATCAGGACACTTACTATATTTAGCAGGTGGTGGATGCAAAGGCCCACATCCCCAGACCCAAGGCTCAGGAACAGGTTAGGATAGGACCCAGAGGTCAGAGAGTGCCAGGCTGGCACAGCTGGCAGTGGCTGCTTCCTTCCCTCCCCCCACCCCACACCCCCTGCTTTGCCTGCCTGGGCAGCTGGGAGAAGTTTGGGTTTGGTGGGGATTAGCAGGAAAGCTTCAGCAAGAGCCTGTGTTGTCCAAGAATGCAGAGCTTAATTTAATTCTCAGCATACAGCTGAGAGTGAACACATCCCAGCTGCCAAGGGAGGTGCTGGAGGTGGGGCCCAGAAGACTCCGCTAAGTTGCTATATTTGGGGGGGGCGGGGAGGAAGGGCAGCCCCAATTCCCCATGTAGGGCCTCAGAGTACAAGCCAGATGCAGGGACAGTCCCAAGACCCTCCTTTCTGAGGAGCCAGGACCTCACAACTGACAATACTCATACTCACAGCCAAGGAATAATCTCCTGTGATACAGAAAAGAGCCAGACAGGAAGTGAAGACATCAGACAGGAAGTCTCGGTGTTGTGCGGCTCTGGGATCTTGTGGCCTTGCCTAGACTCTTCCTGGGCTGAGCTAGTTCCCAGTGAGACTGGTCAGGATGGGGACAGGGGTGGGGGAGAGGCGGGGGGAGTCGGGGCAGGCGTAGGAGGGGTGGGGTGGAGGAGATGGGTGATCCCCAGAACAACTTGAGTGGTGGCAGAAAGGCTGCTTACTTCGCAAAGTACTGGTCAGTTGGATTTGGGGGACCTTCTCCCCCTTCTCTGTGGGCTTCTAGGAGTGACTCCTGTGTGGGACTGGTGCGACCATGTGAAGTTCCTGCTGGGGAACTTGCTCTGGTCTACTGTCGTTGCCCCATCTAAGGGACCCAGCCCAGCTTTCAGGAGACACCCTGTCCCACTGTCCTCCTACCGCTGATTGTCCATGAGGCCCAGCTGCTCTGAGGCTCAGTGTCCTCGGGAAAGCCCGGCCTCATAGCAGGAGGGGTCAGCACACAGGGGAGTCAAGGAAGGACCCCCCACATCCTCCTCATTCCTTCAGGTCTGACCACATTACTTAGGGACCCTGCATGGCTTGTTTCCTCCAGGCCCGGACAGCTGAGCATGTCTCTCTGTTGCAGCCTCAGAAACCCAGTTGCCTCCACAGGCAAGAAATGGACAGTCTCAGCTCCAAAGTCTCCAAAATAAAAAAGGAACGGAGGAGCAGAGCCCTTCCTCTGAGACCCAAGCAATCGTTTTAATAATGTTCCCGTTGTGCTAAAGGCCAGCAGTACTGAGCATAATCTATTCAAATGCACAGGAGAATCTCACTTTGGAAAATTAGGAATCTGCATTAAAAAAATTCCCAAGCCCCGGACCTTCTTTATAATAAATTAGAAAAATTTTTTTCAAGGCAAGTTCTTTAACTTGGCAATTTCAGTTTTTGAAGTTTGGGGAATAAAGTTATTAGAAATGAGGGAGGCTTTTTTTCCCTCCCATTTTAGCAACTTGGCCTTCTGCTACTTGGGCCCACGCCAAGTGGTATGATGGCCAAACAGCTTCTGGCCCCTCCGTTCTGTTTTATTCGGTTCATCTTGGGAAAATTCCATGATTACTTGTAAGGATGTCATTCTGTTTATTGTGCACCAAAGACAAGCTGTAAGTTTAGAAAGTGCAAAATCAACAACCTACTGGAATGCTTCCTGGAGCCTACTTCCTCCTTCCCGAGGCCTCCAGGTGCAGCTGCCAAAGCAGCAGCGCCCTCTACTGCCCAGCCACAGTATCTCAATGCCAGCCCAGGGCATCTGAGCCCTTGATCCAGACCCTCTACAGGCCTGGAGAGTCGCCATGACATGACGATGGAGTCTTACCAGGGTTGTTTACTGAAAGCGCTGCTCTAAATAGCTGTGTAGTCCCTCCTCTTACAATACTGTGCTGATTCCTACAGCCCTTTCCTTCCCTTCTGCACCCCACCCTGGCCTGGCCATCGGTCATCAGCACTTTCAAAGCTCCCTCTTCTCACTGTCCCACACCCCCACTGACCTGCAGTGAATCTATGTTCTCAACCCCTGCTCCCCCTTCCACACATGCCTAGAATCCCAGCAAGTGTCACTCCCATTTCCCTCCCAGAATTTTCTGGGTCACACCACTCCCTCTCTCTCCTTTTAGACATACGCCCCTCATTCATGTCATCTCCCTCCACCTCGGCAAAGTCATTCAGGTTCCGCATCTCCGTAGGTTTCACCACCTCCAGGTAAAGTCCCTTTTGTGGCTCCCCTAGCAATTCCAGGGAACCATCCATACCCAGCTTCTCCACCCTCACCGTCCGCACGTGCAAACACCTCCACCCCTCCCCTCTTCCTCAAACACAGACCTGAGCTGCAGTTCCACAGATATCTTTGCCCTTGGCTTATAAGCAAGACAAATATTCCGTCTGGCCTATTTATGTATGTATTCAGTGTTTAGTATTCTTCTGTCTGCTGGTCCCCAGCATGTTGGGCTGCGTGAGCATTTGATTAGAAATCAGAAATCCTCGTGGAGTCCAGTCTCACCCACTATGGACGTGGATACTCAGTTAACAGTTGGGGCCAAATGGACTTGCAGGTGGTTCGGTGCTTATACGGCATGACTTAAAGATGAGCGATAACGAGAGGGTCTTGGCAGTTCACCAGGGATGCAGCTTCTTGAGTGACCAGAGGGAGGCAAAACAGGCAACATCTGAACTCTTGTTCCGGCCAGGCTGGGAAGCTTGCTTGAAGAAGAAGCTGCACATTCTCTTGCGACCCTTTGGCCAAAGCTACTTTCTCCATCCCCACAACCCTCGAAGTCAGGAGAGTGGGGCTCAGGACCCCAGGAAACTGTATCTAGGGACCTGGGGTCACAGCTGTCTCAGCTGTCCTGTAAGAGGAAGGCTAAATGGAGCCAAGCCGGTGGGGGTGGGGCAGGGAGACTGGTCTCTCTTGTCCCTCCCAGTACCCTGTTTCCCTCCCTATCCCAGCACCGGTCCCCCTCTGGCCCAGGTCAGTGGAGCAGGCATCCTGGGAAAGCTGGACAGGCAATGATCCGTCACTAGGATCCCCATGCTGGTTTCATTAACTGGAGGCAGAGGGGGTGGCCGGGGTCCC